GCTCATCCTGCCACGTCATCGATCCCGCCGGAGCTGATGTCATTTTTCTCAAGATCGAGTATTTATAGGGATCGGTGATGTTGGGAGATTATTCTTTCATTTTTCGTGAACCGTGAAGCGGAAGCCGGAGGCGGTGAGAGTAAGAGTTGTAATCACCGCCGGTGGGGTTTTGGTAGGTGACCGCCAGCGGTGGAGGTTGTGCTTTTTCTGGGATGATGAGCTGAGAGAACAGAGTGGGGGTGTTTTTCGGTGTTTTTGTAGGGGTTGGGATCTGACGGTCGGGGGGAGGCCACGTAGGACGTGCGTAAAACTTCCCTGTCGTGTTGACGATCTTCGATGGGCGCGTACCGGCTGACCTTTTGGGCAGGTCTGTGGGCGCCACCTTGGGTTGCAAGTACATGGGATCCGGTGTCTAGTGCTGAACAGGGAACATCGAACAGTATTAGGAGTCAATTTATAACCAAGTCCTCCATTTCTAACTTCGTTACATCGATATCCTCTCAACGTAAATTTACCATATCATTTACTTACAAGTTGTATTTTTAGTTGCACAAACAAGTTATTTAGTTAAAATAGCATCAAAATAGAAAATATCAATTAATATTTTTTTTTCTTGCAACGCAGAAGAGTATAGAGGTTTTGTATGTACTATCTTATATTTACGATAAGAATGACACAAAAGAACTTTTTTTAATAATTAATTGATTTAAGGTAATGAAGAATATAAATGTTAAAAACGGAATGTATAATGCAAAAACTCTTGTTAACAACAAAAGGTATGATCTTAGGCAATAACAACATAGTACCTTCATATAATAAAAATAGAGCAAAAAATTATGGAGTTTTTTTTTATAATGATCTTCGAGTTCTGTGCCAAATATTTCTACTACATCACAAAATGCAAATAAGGTTTATTTTATCATGTGTTTTCTATTTTGCCAATAGAATAGTTATCTTCAAGGAAAAATTACTTCAAGGTCCAAAATTTTAAGTTTCAATGTGCCACAACCCTTCACATTTTTTAATGTGCCGCAACCTCTTTTTTTTAAACAAATTGTGTCCAGGGTCCTCCATCATGATTCCAACTCATGATTAGACATGACAGCTTCTAAAATCCTAATTTTACCCTTTCTTTTTCTCATCATAGATCATGTTAACTATTATAGATAACATGTTAACTGTTATAAATAACATATTAACTATTATAACTTCATAAATATGTTTTGAGCTCAATGTGTGAACTGTAATAGTTAACATGTTACCTATAATAGTTAGCATGTTAACTATAATAGTTAATATGAGACACGAACTTCCTTGAGACGGCGTCGACGACAGAGCGGGAGAGAGAGGTGGGGAAGGGGGACCGGAGGAGGGAGGTGTATGGGGGATGCAGCGCGGGGGAGGGGGCTGAGGGGGACCGGAGGAGGAGGACGGAGGTGTAGGAGGGAGGCGCAGGAGGGCAGGGAGAGGGACCGAAGGAGAAGGAGGGAGGTGTAGGGGAGAGGGTAAAATCAAGATTTTAGAGGAGATCGCATTGGAACTTGGGGAGAGATGTATGGACATAATTTTTTCAAATTATATGGGTTGCAGCACACTGGGGGAAGTTGGGAGGGCTAGAGCACATTAAGACTTGAATTTTGAGGTCTTGAAGCAAATTTTCCTATCTTCAATGCAGTACACTATCGCAAGGGACGGCTAACTCAAATAGAATCTCGTCGTACACGTGTCAGAATATGGATGGAGTTGCATGGTAATTCCGTGTTAAAGAGCCCGACATTCCGAAGGGATATAATAGGCAGGCGTGGCAGTTGTGAAATTGCGGAACGAGATAGAATATGGATTTTGGCCGGTGGATGCGCATGGGGAAGCGGTTGGATGCTTCTTCTTTACTTACGCAAATCAGCTACATACGCAAAACAGCAAACATCATATCAAACAACGACATGATTTCGTGGGCGTACATTTTAGCGAAGAGTCCCTCGAACCTTCGACATTTTTAAATCAGTTCTTGACTCCAAATTTTGCAATTAGGTCTTCAATCTTACAAATTGTTACAAGCTAGTCCCTTCCATAGAATTTTCATTAAGGGGTTGTTTGGTCCCTTCCATAGAATTTTCATTAAGGGGTTGTTTGGTTGGTTTTCTTGAAATAAAGGAAAAGGAAATTGGGGATGGAAACAATTAAGAATGAGTTTTCATTCATTTCCTAACAAAAATGTAGGAAATTGATTTCCTTAAGCGTGAGTCACATCAAACAATAAAATTGTGTCACATAATCTTTTCATTTCATTTCAATGTGTGAACCAATTAAACAAAAAGATGTAGCAATTATAAGAAATACATTTCTTATAATTGATTTCCTTGAATTTTTGGCCAACCAGCTTTGTTTTGTGATGATTATTCACTATTTCATGGAATTTTATTGAAATAAGTATGTACTTGGGTTTGTATTAATCATAAGAGCATAAGTAGTATTCTAGTGGAATTTTATTGAAATAAGTATGTACTTGGGTATGTATTAATCATAAGAGCATAAATAGTATTAGTAGTATTCTATGTCCAATAATAAAGCTCTCCCCAAAAATTTGGAGAATGCTGCAGATTTGGGGAAGGCTCCCTATTTTTTCTCATTCTTCCCTATTTTGGGGAATCTGTTGGACCAAAAAAAAAGTTCTATATTCCCCAAAATTGAATATTTCAAGAAGATGGGAAAGCTGTTGGAGATGCTCTAAGATTTGGAGGCCTAATGTCGAGTTAAATCTGATTGAAGTTCCAAAAAGGCTGAAAAGCCCTCTGGGAAAATGACTGTATGCTGTACCTGCGGAGACAGATAACAGAAAAATGCTCTGAGGGAGGAGTTAATGCGAGGATTAATTGTAAAACGTGGATGAGCTGACCCGGCGGTTACGGGATCAACTGTAAAGTGACTATAAGTGGAGTGATTAGGGGTTGATAATAGAGTGACTTTTTCTTAAGTGGTCCTAGTCTAGGTCCGCGCAGACGTAAAAATATTGGTTGGCGATGAGTCAGTTAGAAATTGACTAGGCTTGATTTTTGATGAGTTGGTCCATGCGCCAAAAGGTTGAGTTTGGTACCCACCAAGACTTTTTCATGGATTAGATGCTTGGCAGCATGTGGTGGGTATGGGATGTTGATATTTTTTAAACGGTAAGTCTAAAAAGAAAGTCATGAACTTTTATAATTTTCTCTTTATTAAGAAAACGGGTAAAGTTGATCATATCTATACTTAGTTAGATGTTCATGTCTATGTACTAAAGTAGTAATTAGATCATTAATGGCTCCTAAGGCTTTTGTAATTGGCTGATGGATTTTTTTTGACGAGATATAAAGAACTATTAATAAATTAACATAATGAACTTCTTTCCATGTGTAATGCACTCATCATTTTTTCAAAAAAAAATATGACTTGTTGCTGGACAACTGCTGTAGGCTGTCTAAAATTTACTGTAGATAGCTGATCATTTTTTCAAAACAAAAAATATGACTTGCTGTAATGTACTCATCATTTTTTCAAAACAAAAAAAATATGACTTGCTGGACAACTGCTGTAGACTGTCTAAAATTTACTGTAGATAGCTGACCCTCATCAAACACTGATGATAGAAGTTACAATTTGAAGGCTTCCAGAATGCTACAATTTAAAAACTTTCACGTAGATGGATGAATGTTACAATCTGACGACCTTCACAACAACCGATGAAAGCTCTAATTCAACAGGCTTCACAATCAACATCGGAGTTACAATCTGATGACTCTTATATTTTTAAGGAGCCAAGACAAATATTACAAGATGACGATCTTTGCAACGTTCTAGCAAAAGAGACTACAAATTGATGGTCTCTTCAAATCAAAACACAGATATCTCTCAAAACATAAGGAATTTGGTGAAATAGATGGGAGCAAACCAAACCTTTTTTGGGTTGGTTTGGTCGGCTCCGTCTCGTCGAGATAGTCGATTTTCATATATAATTCGTCTAATTCTGAGTTACGGTTTGAAAGTTATGACATGTTCTTCGCAGCAAGTTATGTTCTAAAGTCCGTCTGCAAGGTTGGGCTTCGTCTGAACATTGGGCTTTGCCTAAAGCTCGCCTGCGTTCCAGAGTCAAGATGCAAAGTTCATCTTTGCGTCTCAATGACAAAATGCAGAGCTCATCGTTGCGTTCCAGATTCAAAACACAGAGTTCGTGGTCGCGTTCCAGACTCAAAACACAGAGTTCGTGGCCACGTTCCAGACTCAAAACGCAGAGTTCGTGGTTGCGTTCCAGACTCAAAACACAGAGTATGTGGTCGCGTTCCAGAGTTCGTGGCCGCGTTCCAGACTCAAAACGCAGAGTTCGTGATTGCGTTCCAGACTCAAAACGCAAAGTTCGTGCCTGCGTTTCAGACTCAAAACACAGAGCACATTGCTGCGTTTTCTAGCCGCTAGTACGGAACTAAACTCTGCGTTTTGGGATACTCAACTCTACGTTTCGATCCTAGAACGCAGAGTTTGTGCCAGAATGCGAATTTCGCGTTTGACTGGTTCAAACAGAACCTGAACGGTTTTAAAACCGTTTCTCCACTTAATAGGGTCATTAAGCCCCCATTAAAGAGCGAATTGAGGGGGCAGTTATACCCTATTAAGGAGCAAATCAAGGGGGCAGTTACACCCCTTAATTTGCTATAAATAGCTAAAATTTTAGCTTAATTGAGGACCGATCCTTTGGAGGGGAATTTCAGGAGAATTGAGATCGGCTTTTTTGATCAGGAAGATCTTTTGGCAGATCGTCAAGAGAGGAAGAATTTTGGGAGATCGACATTCATTTGTGAAGGCTCCTTTGGCAACAGAACTCCTTGGAGTTTTAATACTTGGCTTACAAACCCAATTTCGATTTAAATTAACTCTTTTACAGAGTTTAAACTCGTTCTGAGTTCCTGTAGGCTGTCTAAAAATCACAACAGATGGCTGATCCCTATCAAACTTTGATC